AAAAAAAATGCAATTTTTACAAATTTTTATTATAAAACTATAGTAATGGAAGCACAAAATCACATTTTAAAATAACAAAAAAGAAAAAAAATCGTAGAAAAAATTACCTTTTTTGTTGTCTTAACTTATAACAAAGAGAGAGTAAAGTAATGTGAAATAAACTAGAGTCAAAGAAAAGTTTTTTGTAATATTGAAATATAGTGAAAATTAAGGTGAAGAAGATGGATTTGGAATTCAAGTTTGGGGAATAGGGTTTCACAGGAAAAGGGAAGAAGAAAGAAGAAGGTGAAATGAAAGAAATTGGGTAAATAATTTGATATAAATTGAAGGACAATTTTGTCATTTTATCAATTAAAACATTTTAAATTTTTTTATTTCATTTTAATGATGATCAAAGCCTATTTGTCCAAAATCATTGTCCAAGTGGGTCATCTGGCCAAATTCCCCTTAAACATAAGATAAACCGTCCATTACTTGTATTCTCAACAAGCCATTTCCATCAAGATCTTAACAATATGTTGATTCAGGAAACGAAAGAAATCGAAAACGTTAGAGTTTCCGATCTCCGAAACTTGTAGCTTTTTTGTCTAATAATTCAATGCGAAATCGACAAATAGCATGGCGGAACAAGCGATTATGAAGAGTTCGCCTGAAAATGATGATTCGAAATTGGAAAATTGTGACAAGAAGAAAGAGGACCTGATATTGGATCCAGAATTCTTCAGTTGTATGCTTCAGCCTTTGCCTTCCAATTCAAATCCCAATTACATTGGAATCCGCCGCCTCCTCCTCCATCGGAAAGCTCAGTCCAGTGTCCTGCGCCGCAAGGTACTCCTTGATTGATCCTATGGATATAAGTCTATGCAGCTACGAGTACATTAATTACTATTACGTAGTTATATACTCTTGCATTGGGAAATTTGTACTCCTGTTCGTCATAGATCTGTGTTAAGGGTGTGACTGCGAAAATGCACTAGGCATCATCATACCATATTTGCTGTATGTATATACGTTTTAGTACTTGTGCGTACAATTATGTGCGTGATTGCTGAAAAATAGAATCAAAATGTAGAACGCAACTAGTGCTTTGTTGACTGTAAATCGGCTTGAGTTTGGCATAGTCTTCATTTTTCTGCTTGGATTTAAATGATGAGATGCCTGTTGTAGAATTTTAATAATCATTGTCAGTGAATGTAATATCAAGGTACTCAATCTGTTAATTTCTCAAAAATGACTTTTCTAGCAATCAGCGAGGGGAATAATTCTTATATATATATATATATATATTTGCATATACTATAAATCAACATAATAAGGAATTCATTATATGAAAATGTTGATTTTGTGTGGTTTCTTGTTGTAGGATTGGAGATGTAACGGAAAAGGTTATGTTGCCTTCCGTAATTACATTAATAGGCCGAGAAATTGGGAAAGTTCACAAATACCGAGTTACCCGAGCACTCCAGGACAGAGGTGACTGAAATATTACTTTGATTGCTATGAGTAACAACAAATTATTGTTTGTCAATTCTGAAACTTTTGTGTGCAAGTTTTTAAAACTTTGAAGAAATTCAGCTTTACAGTATAAGATATCTGTTTAAATTTGTGTTCCCACGATTCGCACATCAGTTTAATTTACTGGTTGGTGTATCAGTGGACAATGGATACCATCTCCAAGTCCAATCTCCCATATGTTTGAGGTGGACAGCTGGAGTACGAGCAGGGTATGTGCCATTTCTCCATTGTTTCTTGTTCTCTCCAAGTTTCTGTCTTACAATGATTCAATGCGAGTAGGAAAAAGTAATAGGTTGTCAGGGGTCCACAAGGCACCACGTGCTTTGTACCTGTGCCCCCAGCAAAGAATTGAGACATCTTAAATACGATAACAATTGCTTGACAATTGTCTTCATTAGAGCTAGTTAAGCAAACAGATAATTATTACTTGAAAGATATTTGATAAAGGTTGCATCCTCTATTGACTTGTAGAGATGAATGAACTCTGTAATTTAATAGACATATAGTGTATGATTCATTTAAGCTTCATGATCATTGGTGGGGATATGTCATTGTTTTTGAAAAAGACTGCCATATAGGCTGCTTATGATGTTTTTAGTTTCCTCTAATGTTCCTCATATGAAAAGTTGAAACCCTGGCATTCATGGTACTGTGGCTATCACGTTGTACATACATGCATATACATGTATATATGTATGCACGACAGTTTTCCCTTTAATCATTTGCATCTAGAATCTCCCAGGTTAAAATTAATCTGAATGTCACATTGAGTCTAGTAAGTTTTTCACAAATGTAGTTAGTCGGAATGTCACAGCTGAGGGAAAATGTTTGTTGTGATCAATTGATTTTCAACTTAAGCATTAATGAAATTGATTTATGGATATCCAATACCCCAGATCGCATTTTATATATGTTTTTGTGATTCGTTGTGACCCTCACATGTCATTCCTGAGAATAAGAAGTGTTCTAGCCATGTTATATTAATATGTTCTGTTCTTCCTTTCTCCAAGGATCTACGAAGTGGTAGTAGAGCATTGAGTTTCCGCACAAGTGTCAGTTCAAATGCAAGCGATACCGAGATCCCACGTAGAAAGGGCGAACCTGCATATTCCTTTGTTGGGATGCATTGCATTTTTGACCAGTGCAAGGCCATGGGTACGTCTTTCAGAGAACAAGACCAGATTGTATATTGTTGCTGCCTGTTTTGTCTTTATTGAAATTTTTACATTCTGAAGTAGCCAACAGTCCTTGTCTGTAGTTACGGTCATAAAGTTTGGGCACATGAGCTCTGATCTGCTTGCTTATGGAGCATCAGATGGAAGCTTGACTGTATGCACTGTTTCTACATCACCTGCAGTTCTCAAGCAGTTAACGGGACATACAAAAGATGTCACAGGTAGGATTAACGGGTATTCTGTCTGTAGTAACTTTTCCCTGATCAACATTCTGTTCCCTTACGATACCCCTCGATGGCTCCGTTTGTCTTGATGTAGAACATGTTTTGACTGAACTCATTTTAAAATTTCAATCCTCCTATCTTAATTGTAATCCCTTCTAGACCTGGTTCACGCTTTAAAACGTCCCATAAAATCTTCAGAGAGAAATATTGGGACAACCTGGGGCCTCGTGGTAGCCTATTTTTAGTATTTTAATAATTGCTCACACATGCACATTTCACGATTCATATCTAGCTGAGTATGTACTCTGTTGACATTGAGTTCTAAAATTTCTCTCCTCAGATTTTGACTTCTCAGCTAACAATCAGTACATCACATCTTCCTCAATCGACAAAACTGTGAGAGTATGGGATATCTTGAAAGGCCTTTGTATGAGGGTGATTTATGGAATTTCACCTCAACTTTGTATTCGTTTTCATCCGGTAAGTATGTGAAACTTCATGCTATTGTCGTGGTTTCTACTCTGAAAGAATAAAGTTATATTACGTTTTGAGTTTGCTGGTACAGTGCCATTTTTGACTAATTTACTCATGCAGGTGAACAATAATTTTCTTTCAGTTGGCAATGCAAACAACGAGATAATGGTAATTCATGTGAAACTTTAACTAGGTGTACTATCACTGCTAGCAAATGTTACTTATTTAAACCACAATTATTTTGGGTGGCTGTTTCATCAAAACCATGAAACCATTTCCTTATATCAATTTCTTCTGTTTTCTTTTCTTTGGTTGAGGATGTCAGCATTTGTGTGCTAGGCACAAAAGAGGACATACCCTTCTTGTGCCCATATTAGAAGCGCCCGCTTTTCCTTTACTTGTGTACTATCCAAACTAGTAGTATCAATATATTATTCTGTCCTGCAATGTTTAAGTGTCTTTGATGTTGTGCTAACAATTTCTTCTTATTGTTTCTGTATTTATTAACATTCATCTAGTTAGACGTCTTTCCTTTTGTTAAAATATCAAGTCTGCATTCTGGAGACAGAGTGCCATCCTACAGATTAAATTGAATGCATTGCTTAATGCTTAATGCCCTTACCTTGCATAAGACAGTCAACATATTCTCACATTATGCATTGGTTTATAACTGGCGTTCTAGGTGTTCAATTTCAGCACTGGAAGAACAATCAGTAAAGCGACCTTTGACAGTGAGGTTACTGCTATGGACCATGACCACACTGGTCAGCTTATCTTCTGTGGTGATGCTAAGGTGCGTTAGCTCCTCATGGACTCCTCCACCTCTGATAACTGATTAGCTTTAAACTTTATTTTTTTCCAAGAGTAAGATATTTTCTTTACAAATGATCGCAGGGATGTGTATACACAGTTAGTATGGATTCACATACAGGTGCCTTATCTAGGTTTCATCGTAACCGAAGTAGCGGCAAGCACAATTCTCCAGTCACTACCGTGCAGTACAGAACCTTTTCTTTGCTCTCCCGAGGTCCTGTCTTGCTAACTTTTTCTCAAGATGGAAGTTTGTCTTTCTTCAGGTTGTTTGGTAATATTTGACTTTTTACTTTCAGATATAATATCAGTATTCTAATACCTTAGATGGCTTTTTGGTTTGATATAGCATCTCTTTGGAGATACAAGGTTATTTGACTCTTCGCTGTGCACTTAAATTGGCTCCACGACTGCATAGCATTCGTGCTTCTTTCTGTCCTCTACTTTCCCTTGAGAAGGGAGAATTTATAGGTATGCATGCCAATTTATACATAATCCTTTCTATATGTTTACACCAATTTAAAAATGATAATGCTTTTGCCAACTTTATGTCAATGTCACTAAAGGTGTTCTTTGAATGCTCTTATGGCCATTTGTTATGTGTTTTGGCTAAGCTTAAAAGTAAAACTTCCTTTAATATAACTTTTCGTTTCAAAATGGTTTGATATGTTTTTTTCCTGACTTTCAACTAAAAAAGTTACTCATTTGAAAGTTACTCTTACGTCAAAATAAGTAAAGTTAATTTTAAGCTTAGACAAACATGATATTCGTCATCTTGCCTGCCAAATTCTTTAGGCAAAAATTTCTAATACAATGTTACAAATTTATTCATAATATATACATAACATCCTGTTCTCATTGACGCTGATCTGTACATTAATGAAGTTGCCGGGAGTGAAGATGCTAATGTCTATTTCTACGATTTAACTCGACCAAAGCACACGTGTGTAAACAAACTACAGGTATATCTCAAATTCATGATTTCATCCGAGGTCTTTTTCGACCTGCTTCATGTATTTTAATGATTGGTTATTACTGCAGGGTCATGGCTACCCGGTTATTGGCATTGCTTGGAACCATGGAGAGAATTTGTTGGCTTCTTCAGATTTTGGTGGAACTGTCATTGTATGGAAAAGAGCAAAGACAAGTTGAAAGGGACCCTGTAATTCTTTTACCATAAACTGAAACCAAAGGGATTAGGAAAACGAACTATCTGAAATAGAAAATATTTGTGTAAACCTCCGGCTCTGTTGGGTTCTTAAATACAATTATTTATTTATTTATTTATTTATTTGACGGAAAAAGTCGAATCCAAATGAATAATGCATTGTTTGATTTTTGTATTGAATGACATGTAAACTGTTTTTAGCCGTTTTTTCGTATAACTTCTGAATTTTGGCTTATTTTATGAGTTGAATATATTCATTTTTGTATTTCTGATGATTGTTCATCCAAATTGTAAATGGCATGCGATGATAAATCAGAACTGCACTGGTAGTTATCTGCATGAATTGTAATTTGAAGGATGGAAGGCTTCATTGCTATTTAACGTTAGAAAATTTAATTGATGCAACTAAATATTAATCCGTTGTAGTCTAGTTGTTTACGATACTCGTATCGGCTCTCACTCGAGAGACCCGGGTTGAAGTCCCCGCAATGGAATAGGTTTTTTTGAGTTTAAAAGCAGTTGAATTTAACTTTAAGAAAAATTGTAGCGGGATCATTGACGTTGGTAAAAAGTGCAGATAGATCCTCAACCTTTCACTTCTGTAACAGAGTAGATTCTCTTAAGTCTTAGCTGTAGAGATTGGGAATCTATTTGCACTATTTGAAAAGATTAAAGACCCCCGCTGCAATTTTCTTATAATTTTTCATTTCTTTTAGGGGGTGTTTGAGTCACATTATTTTGGTAATAATGCATTATTGAATAGTGTATTGATGTAAAATGTGTAGTTAAAAAATAAGGAAATTTTTTTTATTTGCGTGTAATATTATTTTATTGAAAAATGTGTGGTTGAAATGATGTCAAATCACTGTTTAAGAATACATTGTTTTGGAATAATGTGGCTCAAATAGGCCCTTAATGTCCACATTTGCTCCCATAACACAGACTGCAAACTATGAACTTCAACAAATCTTTTAACCAATCCTAGATTCAATTGTCACTCGTGAGCAAGAAGCCCGTGTTGACAAGAGGTCAATGCAGTTTACATTATAAGCACCTACTATGTTTTTCTCTCGAACAACGATAAATCAATTTAATACCATGTTACTTTCAACGAAAGTTTTTTATAATCCCATATTTTTTATTGATATCAATATACTTTTCATAACAACAAAATACATCACAAATAAGGTAAAATTAGTGGTTTCTGCTTCATGAACTGTAATATTTATTTCTCAATAATTTACAAATTTTTAAATATTGAGTAATACAGACTCACTCAATCACGCTTCCAAACTTTGGCTGCAAGTTCAGGGTTATCTTTTCACACATCCAAGAAAATACTGCTTGAGTTGCATAACACAACGAACGGCTTCTTTTATGAAGTTTGCCTTCAGTACAATGTCATCTTTATTCAGGTACTAGTGACTGATCTTCGAACAAGAGAAATTCTTGATGCATCCCCACCAAGTTCCTCGAAAACTATCAGTAAATTTCGTGTAGGTTTCAACCAAGACCGAGGGACGTGATACCTGGATTAAAACAAGTTGAGAAACAGACTCAGCAAGCTAGGATTCGTCGTTTAGAAAAGTTCTATTTTTGACTAAAACACTAATTGCACGTTTAGGAAGGTAGACTGTACGGCACCAGACAAGATGAAGAAAGAAAAGAACACTAAAATCTTGTTCATTATATTTTCTATTTCATGCTATCAAACATGCATTAAGAAATGTCTATACCATCTTTGAGTCGGTTTTCCACAACCGTACTGGCAATTCCCCTGTCGATATGTTCCTGTATAGCTGCATTCATGGCATTCGCCCTTTGCATAGGCTGTCCAGTATCTTCCTATGCTCTGTCCATTGATCCACACTTGACCTTTGCCCATACTACCGAGGTCCAGTGCCAAAGGCTCGTTCCCTTGCGGTGCATTGAAGTAAGCCTGAAAAGTTACAATAAGAATTGAAGACAAAAGGTATTGCCCTAAATTTTCAGGATAAGCCCTATAGGCAGATGCAGTACAACCACTTGATCTTAAATCAAACTTCAATCCCTCTTTATCATTTTTGACGACAGAAATGACCAATACAATGACTCCATTTATTTTGCCATTTAGTAATCCAATGAGTGAATTCATAAACTTGCCAGCACTCTTGTGAAGCTTAAGTTAATATTTATACCTTGTACCATGTAAGTGGCTGTTGCTTGTTTGCAGCCAAGGACCCTCGTGTCCAATCAACGGATGATATTCCACTTGGAGAAGCCAAGTTGATGGCTTCCCCTTTGAGCCCAATCTGGAAAACGTAAACACGTCCAATCCAAATTTATGAAAACCGATGCATCATTAGATGAAGAGAAGCAAGGTAAACAACCCCCCCCCCCCGACCTAAAAATTGGGAAAAAGGAAAGAGTAAATATATTGATGGACCTGGTATGACCATTTCTGCCAGGACAAGTCCCTTGTTCCATGGTCTAGTCCTTGCAAGACAACTGGTCCCTGGACTCCTGAGCCCCGCGTTTCAAAGCGATGGCCATCATTCTTCATAAACAAAATAGAAGCAATTTTTGAATTTACATGTGAATTTTCTAGCAGAAATTTAGGTACATAGTCTAATTCAAAACTAGGCACTACAGATATTTGTGAAGGCAGAAAATGATTTTCTAACAATCGCTTATTTTCTTTTTGAAGTTGCATTCTTGCGAATGATGTAATGGCGAAAGAACGAAGAAAGCAAAGTCAGGGAACTAACCGGCAATCCAACGGCTACACTCAGAAGTGAAATCTTGTTTACTCCAGCATGTAAGTGGATATCTTTAGTGTAAGGGAATTTATTGTATTCCCTAGTTCCAAAGGCTGATCCTGTATTAAGTAGCATATTGCATTTTTTGTTACGATAATTAGCTAAACTACTTTCTTTCATTTACAGATTTTCAGCTTTTATTCATTTTTATCCTTCATACCTGATAATTGTCCATTAGTAAACACATGCAGAACATGGCCTGCTGATTGCACGACGAGAGTAGGATTCCGACCTTCACGTAAAAAGGATTCAGTTGGACTTATCTTGACTCTGCAAAGTTCATTTGGTATAACCTTATTCTGATTCGTGAAAATGATGTTCTCAAAGAACATTGCTCCGGTTAAATTTTATCCTTACCTGGTTGTGTACCACAAATAATCACTGGCGTCTCTAGTGACGTTTAATTGTTCCAAAAGACCAGCAACTGTGATTTTTGAATCGACGTCCGTAGCAGATATGTCTTCACTGAATGTTTCCCAAGAGAACATTTGCACATTTGTAGGCAACATTTGAGCCTGGGATGTTTTAGCCCCAACCTTGATTGGCAGAAACCAATTAATCAGTATGAGATACTAGTGTAATGAAACCACTGGTCAATAATGTCTCTTAGTTTATATGAATCATGGGTGTCCTATGACGTGATCAATTTTTCAGTCCGTGGACTTCAAGAGATATATTGAACAAAATCTAGTGAGAAAACCTTTCTTGAAAATACTTACACTTGGATTGGTTTCTCCAAACTACTACATATTATACGTCTTTAGTTAGGTGAAAACATGGAAGATTTCAAAATAATAAACATTATTGAGAAGCCATGAAAGAAGATTCCAGCAGCTTTGTCCCTCGAAAACACAAATATAAGAAAGAAATATCTGCCAAATTATGTATGAATCTCATCTAGTCAGCAAAACATAATCTGCCAAAACCAAGCGTGATCAAAACAACTCACCATAGCAGTGTTAAAAATGACGTTTTTGCAATCAGGAAGAATGCTAATTGACCAAGGTGGCAGCTCATAATGCATGTTATTAAATTTCACCCTTGCAGATTTATCCCAGTGGAAATTTGAGAGAAAAGCTGCACACCGTCCTGACTTGGAAGAAAAAACATGTGCCTGGAAATGGAATTGTTGAGCCATTACATTTACATGCAAGAAAAAGCAAAAGATAATTACAAACACTAGAAGCTTCAATGAGGTATGCATAACCCCATCTCTCCTTACAAGGAAAATGTAGTTAATATTAAGGTCAATATATGCTTAAGAAGGACAATACGGATCCCATTATACAGTTCACTTATGTCATAGTGGTTCTTTGGGAATTATATTTCTGTATTAGGTCCCCTAATATCTTACATAAACAATTTTAGGGGAGCCATTTTTCATAGCAAACATAAGAGAGGTGCGAGAAAATACTTGTAATTTCTTTAATTATAGAGAAACTTTGGAGTGACTAGTTGACGTAGAACAACTATAATAATGTAGTAAATTTGCATTTTCGTGTTTCTTTTTTGATTATTATGGCTTTCGGAATTTGAGATTAGGTCATTAATCCATAACAGCTTATTCAATGACGAACCTGTTCATAGTTTCCCAACGCAGTGACAGTAGGATCAGCAGAAACCAAAGCGGGTTCGCATAACTTTATCGCCCTATGAAGCCCCTTCAAATGGTCATATTTTGGCTGCCTAACCAAGCCTACTCAAATGAACAGTGAACTAAATTAGTCATCATGTCAATTTGTGCCGAATTAACCAAACCTTTCTTCCTAGTTCTCGGGATCAAAAGTTAATGCTCCATTTTCTTACCATATTCATCAATAGGAGCATCATAGTCATAGCTGGTAGTAATGAAAGGACCTCCCGAAGTTCGTCCAAAGTTGGTTCCTCCATGATACTGATAGGACATCAAGAAAAAGTTTTGAGTAGTGAACTGGTTACATGGTGCATAGATGATTCATGATACTTCAAATAGTAAACAGCAAAGAATGGTTACATTTCGATTTAGCCCAACAATTAATTTTAATCTTACATTTCATAGGATCCACAACTTTTCAACGACATTTCATTAGTATTTATCAAAATCTACTAAAATTCTATTTTAATCTACATCAAACAAGGGCTCAATCATTTTTTTGCCAGAGGTAATTGGTGCTTTCAGAAGATTGCATGCTAATGAAGTACAACAAGAATCTTTTAGAGAACTTATAGATTTCTGACCAAATATATATATATATATATATATATATATAGTTCACAAAAGAGCCTCCTTTCTGAATGAACCGGACAACTGCAAAGGCCAAATCTTCAACTGGACGATGATGAATTGGACTCCCAAAATCTTCAAACCTTGAGAAAGAAAGAAGTTTAGAAGCATTTTATTACAGGGAGCAAGATTTAGGAGA